CCAGATAGAGTCTAGCAAATCTCCTTTACGCTGAAAGAGACATTTGCTAGAATTATATCACAAAAGATGCCATACCATTCGAACACTTTTGTAATAAGTAAAGGAGATTTGCATACTCCCTAACACCTTTAAATATTGAAAAAAAAGTTGCAAACAACTTTGGAGTTTTAGTTCATTTATCTACTAAACTGTTGTTCATAAATTACAGCCATTAAACTATGAAATGTGTATGAATCATCACTTCTGTTTACAATTAGTACATCACGGCGAGTATGTGAAAAGGATAAAGTTGACCTGTTCATCTTTTCAGTTTTCTCTTTTTGAAGAAGTGCGCATTACGAAAATATTTTTTCGAAAAGAACTTGCCAATTATAAAAAAAAAATTACTTGAATAAGAATATTATTGAATAACGAAAAAAAGCCGTTGTAAAACGGACAAAACAAAATTAATCATTAGAATATGTAAGCGGACATTACCTATCCGAATATGATAAAAATGGACTTTCCAGTTATGAATTCTTAAAACTTCTCAGGCAGAGTAATATATAATTATTGCTTAAGAAGCAATTATAAGAAAAACTTATATAGTTATCGAAAAGTTCAATAAATGAATCAGAAAACATTTCTACATTATCTGAATGTTGTTCAGATATTTTACAAGTTTATCTAGCTGAAGCATTCCGGTTATTTAGGATAGTACACGGATAATGAACAATTAAAACTGGATTATTTTGTAAGTAAATGTTGAGCAAAAAAAAGTATGCACGATTTTTTTTCGGAGACTTTCAACTGCACACAAACATCACTTTACCAAATGAATTTAAGGCTTTCTTATATGAAATTATGACGGCTTTAAGCAATCGCAACGTATTACGATAAAAACGCATACTATTCCTTACGGTTACAAATTAAACATATGTCACAAAGAACGCATCTCAATAAATTTAATATTTCAAAATAGCAGACAATATAATCATGACTTACTTACTGAAGGATTTCAATTTTTCTTGATACCTACGAGAAAATACCCTGTCTATAATATTTAATTGCATATTTTTCTGTTACATCCTACATTTCTCTTATCATTTACAGCTGACTGATAATAAGAACACAGTAGAAAACATTAAACAACATTAATTTCTTAATGTCATTTAAACAACAGGTATAATTTTGAAAAAATGAAAACTTTGGTCAAAGAATCAAAAGCAACTGAATTATCTAATCTTAATGTGCCTAGAAAACTTTAAAATGTTCTTCACCATGTAATGACGTTAAGACGGAATATTACTAAATTATTTAAATAACACTAGGATCTAAGAAAATCTCTTAGAGTTGTTCAAATCTCTACTTATTACTTGTCAAATTCTGAATAGTCATAAGCTCTTTGCAATTAAATTTTAAAATTCTGAAAAAGTTGACCAATCCTGCAAATAAAATATATAGTACAAAGGATTGCGTGAAATACATTAAACAATCAGTTAACGAATCCTATCATTTATTCTTTCAAAATTCTATTATTTAAAACTGGAAGCAAAATCAACAATATATATTTGCTATATAACCAGAAATGACGAGAATGATGCTTTGCAGTATTGATCAAGTTTTAAATAATTATTTATTTTCAACCATACGTATTTCCATTCGCTAATTCCTCATTTTTTAGAGTAAAATTATTTTCCGAAAAAAATAATTTCTTAGTACAATGTCCTTCGCATTTCACATGAAAACCTATCAAATTAATGTCAAAAACAAAATCTTGCATTTCGCCATTTCATATTCAAAACACTTATTGTTCACAAAAAAATAATTTCATAGAATATTCGAAAGCGAAATAACAATAATTATAGCATACAGCATCAAATGAATGTATAATAGAAAATTACGACAAAAGAACGAATTATTCCATACGAAAACCGTAGGCTTCCACAAATTGTATGGCGAAATCTTCACTCTCACCAGCTAACGGCTCGTTTTGAAATGTTTCACATGCTTGTGTACGACCATTATTCAAATCTGCATCCAACCAAAGCCCGTAATGGCCGCCACTTGCACCAATTGATAGCGAATCCATGCTTGCTTTTACGAAAAATTGATTTACACCACTCCATGGATAAATGCGAAGCACTCTGTATGATTAGAAAATTTTAATACAAAAAAAACTCAAGAGAGCTGAACAAAATTCTCAAGAATTCGTGGTCTCACAGTATTAGTGATAATAGTTGCATATCAAAAAAAAGCTGAATCTCTTTTTAAAATCTTAATACGAACGTTATTCTGCACATAATTAGTGTGTGGGGGTGTAAGAAATTCTCCTAAGGTCAAAATATCAGGCAAATAATATAATTTCAGAAAAAAATGAAAGTTACTTTTCATTCGTCTCGAAGTCGTTCGCATATTTGTAAAGAAAACATGAATCACCAGTCCCAAAAAAGTGTTCGCATGGACGTACAGTGGTACTAACTACAGCACCGAAAATATTCTTCTTACAATCACGAATTATCAACAGTATGGGTGACATTTCTTCGTCCCAATCTATCATTTTCCTAAAAGAAGGAGAAATTGATTCTGATTCTGGATTATTCCCGAATGCTCAATCTGGACATTTACATAGGTAATTTCTAAAACCGGCGAAGCATCACTTAAATTTCTCAATTTTGAACATATGATCATTAAACTAACGCTGGATTTTGTTTTAGAAAAAACCGAGAATTTCTGCTACTAACCGAAATCACAGCAAAAATATGAAAAACAAACGAACCTATAAAAAGTGTGTAATGAAAAACCATGTTTTTCGGAATTATAAATATTGATCCATGGATAGCCGGCAGCACGAGCCGGCAGTACATCTACCATCTACAAACAACTTATTATATTTTAAGATTTATAAAACTAATACAATTTGATCTTGTCTCCAAAAATTAAGCATAGTTGAAAAGCAAACGTGTCACTAACCTGCCTAATCATAATTTCATCTAGGATTTGCGACGAAGTAGCACCATCCGGAAGAGGCAGAACAACCTTGTCTAGCTGATCCAACGACATTCGTCGGCACATCTCCCGCACTGTCACAATCTCCCATTCCCGATTCAGATAACTGCTACCGAATGCTGGAGAAGATGACACCTCACCTAAAACTTTTTAATGAAATTATTCAAAGCATACTACATGTTAAGAAATCACTCGAGTATAAACGGTGAAATTCAAGAGCTTTTCCCTTCACTTTTCTTCATCGCTCAAGAAAAAAATAAATAGTAGAGATGGATGCAGATGGATGTGTAAAAATTTATGATAGCATATCAATATAAAATAATAAATAAATGCATATATATGAAATAAATGCATAACGTGAACCACAACCAACAACCTGTCACAGTACATTTCACCAAGTCATAGTAGCAACCAACAGTGTTTACACTACAATAAATTGCATTAATTCATCTATTCGCTGAAAAAGCATGTATTATAAAGAAAATTACAAGCTTACATAATGCAACAAACAATAGCAGTTGAATTCAATAAGCATTTCACCAATAAAGATCTTAATAAGTAAATTTTCATTGATGAAACAAAGCAAACATTTATCTTCCTCAAACGACACAAGAATATTCACATAAGGAATTTTTAGAATAGTTCTCGAAGGTTACAGACTCCACAGCAATGGACAAAAAAAAAGCAATTTGCAAACATCCAAAATAATTTCCTTCCAAAATTAGTATCCGGCAAACAATATCAACATTTCACTGCAGAAATACCAAAACATAAAAAAAAAATTTTGGCTCAGT